TTTTTTTCATTTGAAAACCCTTTTCTCTCTTTACCTCAGATCTGCCGCTTCTAATCGATCTGCTCGAGCTTTTTCCTCACCTGGAGCATTTCTGGCTGACGCTGAAGCTCTACATGCCGCAGTTTAGATTCATCTCCAGTCTGATCGACTACCTGGTGTCCCGGTACAGCCCCCAGACAAAGGCAGCCACCGAATCTCAAACTCAAACTGAAACGCCTCAACGCCGCCTGAAGACGCTTGATCTTAACTTCCTTGACAGTGTCTTTTCCTCTGGCTGTGACATCAACAAGCTGACGCTCCTCTTGCCTCAGCTGAGCCACTTTGGCCTCACTGCCCGCCTCTCCAAAGACGGTGAACTGTCCGCTCTGCTGCTCGCCGCCTCCTCCCGCTTGACCAGTCTCCGGCTGAACGCTTCGGGCTGTTCAGTGGACGACCTGTGCTTCCACCCGGACATCACCGCCAGCGTCCAGTCCTTGGTGCTCACCGCTTCGCCCCCGGTCAGGCGCTTCTTCCTCGAGCGCTTTACCGCGCTGACCCGTTTGGTGCTGGTGCACTCCGATGATCATGGCTCTACCAGTAAGCTGGAGGTAAGCAAAAGAAGAAAAGCGTTTTTTTATCAAGAACTTTATGCTTCTTTTCAAAAGCCCCCCAAAACTAAATGTGTGTTTACATTCTTTGTTTTCAGAAGATTAACGATGAGCTGGAACCACTCAACGGTCTTCCCTCGCTACGCCGCCTGACGCTGGTCAACTTTGACCTGCCTGGCGGTGGGAAGTGTAAGAAGCAACAGCTGAAATTGCCACAGGTCACCTCGCTGACGCTGGTGCCCGGCTCGGGAAAGGTCTTTCTGGAAAACTTTCTTGTTGACTCGCTGCTGCCGGTTGCTGCTGCTGCTAATGTTGCTGTTCAACGGCAGAAGCATCAGCATCAACAGAGAAAACAATTTGAGGAAGAAGATAAAGAGGAAGAGGAGGAAGAATATGATGAGGAACGCGAGAGTAGTGACGGTGATTCAGCTGCCGATGAGGAAGGTGACGAAGGTGCTGAAAATGATGATGAAACTTATTATGAAGAGGATGAAGAATTTGATGAGGAGTTTGAAGAGGAGGAAGAGTTTGAAGAAGACGAAGAAGAGTTTGAAGAAGACGAGGAAGAGTTTGAAGAGGATGAGGAATTTGATGAAGAGTTTGAGTCTGACGAAGAGGACGATGAGAACCGCCACAACTCCCGGAACGCTCAGGCCAAAAAGGTTCAAAAGGTGGTAGACGTCAAAGAGCTGGCAAGGACACTTCGAACGCAGTTTCCCGCCCTGACCACTCTCACAATGATGGGCGTCGTTTGCCGGCCTCAGCATGTCACCGGTCGGCTGGGCGAAGCTCTGGTGGCACCGCTTTGCAAGGAAGTCAATGGCGGCCGCGGTGGTGATGATAAAGATCC